AATAATAATAATAATAATAATAATAATAATAATAATAATAATCAGGAAGGGGCTAACACTTTTTCCACACCACTGTATATTCATTTCTGACCAAACTTTTACAGCTTGCCAATCTACAAAACCTCTGGTCACAAGACTCAAATACACACAAATGTGAAGTCTCACCTCACGAAACCACTTCCTCACATAAAGGATGAGCCATGAGCGTGGGAGCATGCCAGGTTTTACTTAAAATTCTGCACACAGGAACATTTGACATTCTGTTTTTAATCACTATTAGCTGCCAGTAAACCCCAGCAGTGGCATCCTCACACTCACTCACACACCTCATTAATAACTCGCAGGACAGACTCAGGATATGTACAACAGACAAGCTCCCTCATTCAAAGAGACACATGCAGACAGATGAACTGGCACTCTGAGGACACCTAACTGTTAGCTTTGGCTCCGAAGGGGTTTGTGAGGACAGGGTCATCCCACATAACAAAAACTGAAAATTTGGTCATCAACAGTCACAGAGAAGACCACAGGAACTGTCCAACCCTAAATACAGCTCACAGGTTCCCTGTTCACAACATACTTGTACACATATTTCTACCAGACAGAGAAAGCTAAGAAAAAACATCTCAGTGACAGCCTCTGCACAAAATGACCATAATGTTTCAGCAGAAATTTAAAGTTAGAACAGTCATTCCTCTGTTACTGCAACTAACGTTAGGGCAACAATTCAATAACAGTGGGCAGGAACTGTTAGTGACTGTTAAAAACATAAGTGTTTCAAAACTGTGTGTCCAAAACACACAAAAGGGCACGATGCCACAATGTTAAGCCAGACCAATGAGCAAAGCAGTTCCTATGTTATCTGACATGTGGTCAGTTCCTCTTTTGATTGCAGTTTAACAAAGGGCACTTCTGACAGCCCATTTTTCCCCAAATGACCACTGAGACCACATCAAGTGTTTCTTTGTTGTTTAAAACTCAGCATAAATTTGAAATTCTATTTTGAGAATGAAGTTGAAATGCTAAGAATAAGGTCAGCTTCCACAGTGCTTACCCTTGTTACCACTCTATATCTTTTGTAGAGGCTCTATATCTTGGGGCAACCTTTCTCAAAAGTCCAGCTAAGATATCTAGCTCCTGTAATACTGACCATGCAACCATTTTTCTTTAGGTGGAGAGCCGTGTTGCACTGGTGGCAAGGCTGCTCAATCATTGTGGTCATTATTGTAATCTTGATTATTCAATAATTTAAAAAACCATGCAGTTGATCACAACTGCTGTTCATTTTTTGTCTTGGTAATAAGTGATGCTTTTAAATTAAGTTTTATTTTAACCCAAGAGGGTTGTCATTTAACATAACTTTACATAGCAGTTTTGTGATTAATAGATTAATTTACTGTGTTTTGTCTGCACATGTCCAAATATAGAATCACAAGGGAAATACCTTTCTTGAAGTATGCCTGTTATGCAGTCACGGAAGTGCATTACTTTTGTCAGTGAACATCAAAGAGAGGCAGAGATATCAGTAATACAAAAAATAAAAAAAAATCTCAAGTTCACAATTATTTGTGAACAAATAATTGCTTAGATGATTAAAAGCTGCTGCCTTCAGTAATTTGCAGCAGAAATACTATAAATTAAAAAACAATAATCATTGGATTTCGAAATTACTTTTGCATTCATTTTCACACCACCACTTTTGAGCTTTTAGGGAGGAGCCATGAAAACGAAACTATGTGGGGGAAAAGAAATACTGCAACGTTTTCATTGGTGTACAAGTGAAAAGATTATCATCAGTTGCCTGTAACTGCCTCAGTCACCAGGTCTCACCTTGTAGCTACCATGAAGGCCTCTTGAGCTGTGCAAGGTAGCTAAGCTGATGCATGGGCTTCTTTGTGGCAGCTACCCTTGTTACACAGGCTTTAAAGTCAAAAATACCTGTTAGCCCAGGTCTGAAACTCTCTCAGACCTCATGTCTCCTACCATGCTCATATCTTTTATTCTTTTTCCCCCCTATCAATTTTTTTTTTTTCCTATCTTCAAGGAAACTTGCTGTAAAAAGTCTGTTTTCTGTAACTGTACAGTGTTGAAATTACTGACAATAACAAGCAGCATGTTAAATAACTGAGCTTAACCAACAATTCGGATTATTATTTTGCCATAATCAAACAGCCTTAAGTTAAACTAATTTCTCATGTTGCATTAATGTACAGTGCCGGTTATCTGTTGGGTTAAAGTTGTTGCCAAGTTACCTGTCGATTGCCGGGCCCAGCATCCTGGACCCACTCTTTGTCTCACTTTAGTTGTAAAGAAGCACAATGTTAGACAGGGCAGGTAACAGCCCTGCAAACCAGCACAGTTGTTTTATTTTCATCTGCAAAATGTAGGCCGCATCAAAGTAAACTCGCTTAAAACCACCTGACCGGAGACATGTTTATTTACACTATGCACAGGTGTTTGCGAGCACAGAAGGTAGCTCGTCCTAGCACTGTTAATGTTAGCCACACAAGCCACTGTATGGTGCAGACTGACTAGTCTAAAAGTAAGAAAACAGAGTCAAAATATTACCACTACCACTGATAGCAGGTAAACTAGACAGAATGAGTATAATTCACAGAGATAATCTGTAAGCAGGGCTTTGGTATGAGTGCTGATCAAAGACAATAATCCACCTGATCCCACATAGATTTCAAATTCCTCAGAGTTAAACATCATGTGATAAAAACAGTCACCCTTTAGTATCTACCCAGCTGACCCATAAAGGCAACCCCCCCCTCCAAAAAAAACAAAAAAAAAACAAACAAACATAACTTCCATGTTACCCTCCACATTCCCAGCTGTACCTGGCATCACTTCGCTAAGCGCTGACTGAGACTCAGATATGCTAAACATCCCTAAAGCTATGAGGGCAAAGGTGACAGTAACACCAACATATTCGTAAGACTTCAGATTGTTAGGGGTGACGGAAATGAAAGCAAGTCCCTCGTGCTGCACAGTGATTAAAATTCCTGTCTAACCTCAAAAAATGTTCTTAAAACTTCTTGTGAGGAATTTCCAAAGGATTTCAAGTTTGCCAGTAGCAGAGAGAGAGAGGGAAAATGCTCTTAATGAAATCAATAAGCTTTCACTGAGGAAAAAAAGGAGCCATGTGCCTTCATTTTCATGTGAATAAGCAACCTGGCAACTCTTGTTTCTTTCCTAAAGACGAAAGGGCATTTCAAGACTTGCTTTGACTACAACACAAAATTGACAATGGCTGTCAGTTTATTTCATACCTGTCTTATTCTATTGCTTATTAAGTCATCGACAACTGCTACTGTAATTTCTGCTTTTCAACAACAAAATGTGCTGAGAGTCTCTACAGGGAACTGTGCGCCCAGCAGAAAATGTGCCCTGTAAGGCAGACAGCCAGGATTTCAAGCAGGCGGGCGGGTGAGGTAAAATGTTGAATCACTGCAGCCACTTGATAAAGACAAGAAACGTCACATCCAGCTGAGCCCTGCGTTGTATCCCACTGACAGAGGACAGAGAGAGTGCAGCAGCTTGGCCTCTGTCGGCTGGTGATCTAGGATAACAACAACACTTTTCTTCCCTCACAGCTGCAACATTAAACAGTGAACTCATTCAGCTTCAAACAGACTTAAAATGCTGAGTACCATCACACAAAACTATTTTTTTAATACAAAACAAAAAGAAAGCCATAAACCGTTTGCATATAATCAAACAAATATAAGTGAGAAAAGTATAAAAATGAAATCTCTTACCCATCCTCTTCTCCATCTACAGTCTTGAGACCAGCTGGTGCTGTTAAGGCACTGGCGGTGGCAGCGTTGCCCTCAGTTTCCTGACCATGGCCAGTGTTGGATCCAGTCTCTCCTCCAGACAGCTTGGGCAACCCCAACAAACCCGACTGATGCTGGAGGAGCAGCCGCTGGGCATCTTGCAGCTGAGTGGTGGTGAAGCTCGGCAGACTGGCATACAGGGCGCTGGCCTGTGCAGCGTGAGCCAGGGCCTGGGCACTGCTGTGGTCATGGGTCAAGCTCACAGAAGACGGCTGGCTATGGGGAACTCCCTGCGGGGGCATCCGAGCAGTATTCCCAGTGTTGTGAGATTGGGGTTGGGCCTGGGCCTGGTGATCGCTCTGAGGGTTGGGGGGAGGCACACTTGGTGCAGACGCCTGGCTCTGATGGGCCGCTGTTGGCAGCTGGGTGCTCAGCCCTTGGTTTTGGATTTGTGTTGGGAGTGACTGCGGCTTTTGCTGCTGGCAATCCAAATGGCCTGGATGGCTCTGAGGCTGCTGGCCAACACCAGCTACCCCGACATGAGAGGACATACTAGAGGTGGTAGACTGAAGAGAGTGGGGCTGCTGAGGACCTCCCATCATATGGCAGGCTCCGTTAGCCATCCCAGCAGATGTGGCTCCAGCTTGGTTGGACAAAGGCTGGGAAGCAGCAGCAGAATGAGGGATGCTTTGCTGCGGCTGTGTGTACTCAGGTGGCCTCATCGACATCGTGTGTGCTTGGGGGGCAGCAGCTGGCTGTTGTGGTAGGGTGGCATAACCCATCTTCTGCTGCTGAACACCTACTGGGGGTTGATTAGCAACTGCCTGGGCATAAGTGAGCTGCTGCTGGGACACAGCAGTGAGTCCCATGGTGGTCTGGTGGCTCGGCATGGATGGAGGCTGATGAACATTTGTAGGTGCCGAGGGGGCCGCAATAGTTTTATCATGCTGTTGGGGTTGGGTGTGAGATACCCCCATGCTTAAACCGCTGGGGAGGATTCCTTGAAAGCCCTGAGGAGGGGAGTTGTAATCCTGTGCATGCTGTGGTCCACCAACATCTCCACTGCACACATTCTCGACATAATGGCTCAATGTACTCATAGTACTACTCACAGAACTCCCACTTGTGCTTTCTCTCTCCGACCCCCCAGCAAAGCTCTCAGAGACAAACTGTCGTATGCTGTGGGACCCAGGATCAGAAGAAGAAGTGGGGGCAGGAGCTGGAGTCTCCTTATCATAGAAATCAGTGCAAGTCCATCTGCCCTTTTTGAAGGGCTCAGAGTTAGAGTCCAGCTTCACCACTCTAAAGCGAGAGCTTGTGGTGGTGGCCACCACAGGGGCCGCAGGAGCAGTTGATACAGGAGCTGTGGTCGCAGCTGTAGCAGTTGCACTCACAGGCTGCTGCACAGCTGATCCAACTCTTCCATGGAGCCCGCTGGGGAGCCCTACGCCTCCAGAGACACTCACAGCAACAGTAGTTGTAGCAGTCATAGCAATGTTGGAGTTTAAGTTTTGGTGTTGCTGGATCATGTTAGTGGGGGCCATAAGGTTGCTCCCCGCTGGAGCAGCAGCACTTTCTCCTCCTCCACTCCCTCCACTGCTGCTCATCACATTGAGAGGATAGCCGCCACTGCTAGTGCTAGCACTCGTGCTGATCCCCCCTCTCACAGGCACGTTGGCAGAGCTCAACATATTCACATTACTAACACTGCTGGTCTGGGGATTAACTATGCTAACTGTATTGCCAGCAGCAGAGCTGTGCATTCCAGGGATAGATCCCGGGACTGCAGTCCCCGTAGGCTGAGTGGGGATACTTGAAGGAGCAGCCTGGGAAACTCTCTCTTGAGGGCCGCCCATATTAGAAGGCATTTTCTGGGTGACACAAGGTAAAGCTCCAGAGGTGAGACCAGACGCGGTGATCCCAGAGCCAGAGGACAGAGGGTAGACCTGGGCATGGTTAGGATGTGGAGGATGTTGATGGTGTACAGTCCCATTCACCATGGCTCCACCGTGTTGCTTCTGTGCCTGGTTCAAGGTGTGGGGGTGTGAAGGCTGATTTGGAGAGACCGCTCCAGGGGTCTCCGCCTCATGGAAATTATTCAACGTCTCCTCTGAGGAGCTTCTCTCTGCTCCAACTACATCATTAGCTCGGGAGAGGGACACATCCAGAATCTCAGAAGACGACAGATCCTCAGTATGGGACTCATCCAGGTCGTCGTAGCTCTCAGTATCCTCTGCAATGCTGTTATTGGTACTAACAGATACCTGTGCTGGAGTCACACTTGTGATCTGGAAACCACTCTTCTTTTTTATCTGAGCTCCAGTGGACTGTGTGGGCTGGGGCTGGGAGAGCAGATTTAGGCTGTGGGGGGGAGGAGGATGATGGGGACCCGGGGAGGATGAGCCAGCAGGAGGTTGAATCAACAGGGAGGGCGGGTAGTCATCGCCTGGTACGTGGCTGTTATTAACCACCGGGTTAGCTGATGTTGACAGCCCGGGGCCGCTCCCGCTACCAGTGTTGCTCCCCCTTCTGTGAAAGACAGCCTGGTGCGCCATCTTTCTAACACTGCCAGAGTCTCCTGCAGGGTCCGGATGATGCATTTCGAGAAGATCCGGGCGGTAGTTGGTCTCTGACAGTATGCAATAAGGCTGCAGCTCGTTAAAGGCGCCGTTTTGACAAAACTACGCTCAACAGACAAACGACCAAAAAAATTATCTAGACAAAAAACAGATATTTCAACGAAGTGCGCAGATATGAGGCAAAAGTTGTGCCGATATTTACACCCTTGTCTTCTTTCACTCGCTTCGGCGTTATCCTAGCGAGGCAAAAGAAGCTAGTGGCCGCTAGCGTCAGCTGATGCCAGTTCGCCGGTTAACTACCAGAGCTGTCCGTCTGCGCCTTTATTAAACACAAGCTAACATTTCTGTATGTTTTGTTGAAGAGAAAAAGACGCCACGCTGCAATGAACACAAAAAGCGGGCAAAAAGCTGCTGAGTAAGTTAGCGTTATATTAAAAGCTAGCTAGCTGCCACTCTCCATCACCGGCTAGCTAAACACAAACTCGGCTGTTTAAACTGCTGGGTTTTTGTATTCTTATTCTTTTAACAAGAGGAAACGAAGTGAAAGCGAGCCACCTTTAATCCGCAGTTAGAAGCTTTAAAAGGCGAAACACTTCTAATAAAAGCGCCGTACACGGGTTAAATCCATTCCTCTGGGTCCTCGTTTGGGTTTTGCTGTATCACTGGTCCGCCCCGGCGGTAGCGTCGTTCAGTATGGAGCCTCCTGCACCGCTGCCGTGGTCTGCGCTGTCTGTGACGGGGCCGGAGGGGAGGGGTGCGCAGTAATATGGCGACCGCGCATGGCCGCTGCTGCCAGACATAAAGCAGTCTGGGAGAGGCGGCCACGAGCTCACGTCAATATCCACGAAGCGTGCCGGAAAGTGCCGAGCCCAGCCGCTCCCTCCGAAAACCAGTTTAGGGCCATCACAATAGATTTTGTTGGTCTTTTTGAACCAGAGGAAATCAGTATGGAGTCATTATAGTTTTGTAGTTTCTCATTACTTTAAAAGTTTATTTAATTTTGAGTATTTTTATTTTTCATTCAGTTTAGTTTCAGTTAGTTTTCAGATCGGATTTTCTTGTTTTGTTTTGTTTTTAATTCTCTGGAGAGTACAGAGAGTACACGTTTTTACAATAAAAATAACTTTTACAAAGTCTTATAGACATCCAAAGTCTTAATTATAACATAATAACATTTTATACCAAACTAACATATTAAACTAAGGTAATTTCATTTTTGTTTGTATAGTTTTCCAAGTTCACAAAATTGCTTCAGTTAGGTTTTATTTTGTTTTAGAATCAGAATCAGAGAAACTTTATTAAGCCCAGAAGGAAATTGAGTTGTTGTAGCAGCATACATAAAACAGACGATAAACCATTCTTATAAAAAGTAGAAGTAGCATTACACCAGTGGTACACTGTAATAACCTTAGTCAAAAGACCCAGTATGGCTCACTCTAATATCCTTTGGAGAGTGGAAAAACCTGCAGGAAATACTCCAGTTTTATAAATAAAATGCATTACTGTTTCTGACACAGGGGATGCCAACATAACACAGGAGTGAAAATGGAAGTAAATTTAAACATATTTCTAAATCAAGGGAAGTTTTTTGAATTACAAAAACACAAAATACTCTTGTTTAGTTGAAAAAAAGTATTTAGACCCTTAACTGAAAATCAACATCCACCTTAAGTGATGGATTACATACATGTGGAGGTATAGAGATGTCTAGGAGAGAGGGCAAGGGGCTTTTTCACCAAACTAAATCCTAGAGAGAGAGTGTCTGTGAAGAACGGAGCAGAAGTGTGCTGGTACTAGTTTTCAAGAGCAAGAGTGATGTGAAGAGCTGCTGAGCCATACAATAAAACTATGGAAAAGAGATCAGGAAGTATATTGTGGACTATAATATTTGCAGATGATGTTGTGGTCTTAGTGCGAGCAGGGAGCAGGTGGGAGAGAGTCCAGAGAGGTGGAGGTATGCTCTGGAGAGAAGAGGAATGAAAGTGAGAAAAAGCAAGACAGTATGTGAGTGAGTATTAGTAATACCTGCTATGATGTATCTCTTGGAGATGGTGGAATTAACAAAAAGACTTTTGGGGGAGTATAATAACTCAGTTACCTACATTAATACTAGTTTAAAGAGAGACCGTTGTTAAAAACAAAGGCTTGCAGTTTCAGGCACTAACTTCTAAACAATACAATAATAAACTAAATAATATAAACCTGAATTCTGTGTAATGATTAATTTTATGTCTATGCTAACATACATGGGAAATAATAAGTAATTCCATTGTTAGGTTATCGTGTTCCCCTTTTATTGTACTCATTTAAAGAAAAATGTGATTTATTTTGACAGTGAAAAATACTGAAAAGAAGAGGAAAAATGATGGAGGGTGTAAACATTTGTTGTGGTACGAGCAAAACATCCCCACAGCAGTGTTTGTGAAACAAAGGTAGACAGAGAGCTGCTAGATCCCTCTGCAGACACAGGTGTCAACTACACTGAAGGATTATTCTACATGCAGGTGCTGTTTGGGGCCTCTCTCACCCTCACTCTCTCCCTTTTAAACACAGGAGAGAGAAAGAAATGTACACATTTGTTGGTTGGTAATGTTGCCACAGCAGGTCAACGAACTCTGATCTCAAACTCGAGCTTCTCCATTTTCTGTGTTCCGGTGTTTTCTGTTTATCACTGGATATACAGAACCAGTTCTAGCTCTTCTCAATCAGTCTCTTCTTTTCTCTTCTCTTTGCACTGAAATTTTTAAATAATATGTTAAGTTCAATTAATAAAGGCATAGAATTACAGTGCATATGTTTCTTTTGCATGTATTTTGGTTATCAGAAGCATGCTTTAAGGGAAATTGCATTTCTTTCACATCTAACCAGAGGTCAGAGTTCATGATCCACAGAGGTAGATGCTCTAAACATGACGCAGGTTTCAAATAATGAGGTCAGCATATTTGCAAGGAATCCCTGACTGCTCCAAACTCTCAGGTTCAGAGATTTGTTGTTTTTTTTCCCCCAATATTTTTCTATTGGATCAGAATGATGTCAAACAGAGTAGATATACCTAATATGGTCATCTAAGGTACACAGCAATAAGCACAGAAGTCAAACCAACCTGCTGTTCAAACCTTCTGTTTGTGTTGAGCAGCCAGTCACAAGGAAGCTGGGTTAAAGCAGTGGCTTTCAGAGCCAAGTCGAATGATGTTGATGCTGAAATGTGGGTTATTTCTTTTTAAAAAAGGGTCATGATTGGGGGAAACAATGGTGTTAAAATTAATGCTGGTGGTTTGAGAACCACTACATTAACTCAGAATGTAGAAGATAATTGACTGTGAATCATATAAGAGAAAAAATACTGGAAAAAACCAGAATAGGTCCCCATGTAAGAAAAAATAGATGTCTTGTAGAGTTTAAGCAACACTGGCTGTCTGAGCTACTGTGAAATCATACATCATAACGACATCTGTGAGAAAAAACAAAACAAAACAGGGGAGGTAATGCAAGAAATAGAAAGAGGAGGAGTTGTGGTGGCTCACAGAGAGAAAGGAGAGAGTAATAGTTAGTGAAGGAGGAGGAGGAGGGAAGAGAAGAAGAGATTAACTGTCAGGCAAGCAGACAGGCTATACCCATCGATACAAATGATAGAGGACAAGAGGGACAGCAGGAGCCTATTGCAGTGTAAGCGTCTGGTGCTGTCAGCAGCTTTAAATCATCCTGGCACTCCCC